CCTTAAAATCAGCTATGTCACCACAAAACAACAAGTTGATAGATTCTGGCAGTTCTGATGTTAAATAAAATCAGCCAGATAAGCAGATTGAGGAGAGGGCAGACCTCAGGAAGGTATGACACAGCACTGGGCTTGTGTGTGGTCATTGGCCTGGTAGTTCATGCACAGTAACCATTGCATGGGACAGGTAACAAGTAGGGAGAGGAAAGACCAGGGGACATTGAAGGAAAGAGAGTTTTACCCAGTGGGCCTTGACATGATTTTCTTAGTCCTTCKCAGACTGTTTAGCTCTCTGAAATTTGTTCAGAGGCTGAACAAGAACTCGCATATTTGAGTTTGAGGATTTAACTCTTGTGAAGACTTCAGTCATCTGCAGTGACTTTGGTGGCTTCTTTTATTTTGTTTTCTTTTTCCTTTAGACATCCATATGAATGTCATTAGACTGTTATAAAGTTTCCCTCTAGATCGGATGCAAGCTTTATTTTCTGGAGCCATTTAAATTTTGAGAAAACACTTTTTACAAAACCACAGGAGATAATTCTGCGTTTGAAGGCAGATGGCTATGATGACCTGACGTTTTTTAAGCTTTTTGTTTTCATCACTAACTTCCTCTGTGATTCTGTCAGTGTTTCAAAGCAGTTTTCCAAGTGCCAGAGAAATAGCTTCATGTTAGGGGGTTATTTTTATAATTCAGTGCATCCAAACTTCATGAAAAATATGCAAATTGCCTTCATTATAACCCATATCTTGTCGCAACATGCAGCATACGTAGTGCCAGAAATGAATGCATTCATGGCATCTTTTGGGTCCTAAGATCCAATTATGTCTTTTGTTGTTCCTTTTTGGCTCTCTGTGTCAGCTGCATGCTCTGTAAAGTTACTGATTACTGACCTGTTGGCAACTTTACAAATCAGCTTTGAAATGCAAGCTGTCAGTAGCTCTTGAGTACCCCATTCCCAGGTTACCGAGGCCGTGAAATGCTGCATTGAATTTTTAATCTGTTTTCCCTCTGCTTCTGCCTAGCTTTTTCCAGGTTAAGGTCAATTTTGAAACCAGCTGAATTCTTTAATAATCACTGTCTTTGCAGTCCTCATTGGGTTCAAAAGGAAGAACAATTTTTTTCATTGCATTAATATTAACTTTTTTTTTTACTGTGGGGGCTTATTACAGTGTATTTTCTAGTTAAGTATTCACTGTTAGACCACAAAGTGCACTAGCCAAAGTATTGCTTCATGAAGATATGAGTGAACTACTGCTGACACAAAATTTAACTGCCCTCGCTTTTAAAGTCAGGCAATGCTGCTATTGTAACGCAGTCTACATATTTTTTCCCTGCAGCCCTACTACTGGGAGAAGAAAACATGCCACCTCAGCTACATGTCCTTTGGTTCACCTTTCTGAATGTGACAACTGAGGTTTATTTAGTAATTCCACCACCAAGCTTTGATCTTCATTTTAAAAGTTGCAGCTTTTTGCCTAAAGTAGAGCAAGCTTCAATTAGACTGCTGAAAATCTGGGCTCAAATGCAAAATGAAACAATCTTCATTTCCTCTTCTAGTTTCTCCTTAAAGCATTTATCATTTGAGAAATTTCTTTGATTTAGTGAGTGGGTGCTTATTTGATTTCAGTGGTGAATAATCCAGGCATACTTTATTTTAAAGGACCMTAGTGATGATTTCTTTTGCTAGGTATCATGGATGTTATTTTTATTGACAGGTTCCTATGCATGATAGCACACCTCATCAGATAGTTGCCACCCTTTATTTACCACAGCTTTTTGCATATTCTTATAGAATCTCCCCACATGTGACTTTTCACCTTGGAGTGCAAAGACAGCTATAGTTACCTTTTATTGACAAGGAAAGCAAATAAGTAGAATTACAGTCACATTTCTGGTTGAAAAATCAATAAGCTATCATAAAAAAAAAAATCTCATATTTGGTCTTTTCTTGAGTGTGTCCATTCTCTATGAGGCTACAACTGGARTGACCAGGATTTCCCGGCTTTGGTAGCAAAGTTAATACCTGTAAAAGAACACTTTGGTTGTTTTTACTATTGTTTGCTCTTGTATCACTATTAATCTTGAATAAGAGATATTCAGAGGTCTTCCCAGGCCTCTTGAACTCTAGAGTCCACTGAAAGTGGATTTAGTTAAAGATGGGAGATGGGAACAATTCTTTATGTTGCTTAAGTAGACATCATGCTATAGCAAGATTTGCTGAAGTTGTTACCTTCAGCAACCTCARGAGAATCAGATATCTGGAGGCAGCTAGCACAAAAAAATGCTAATGATATATAATGAATATTAAAAAAAAAMCTGATGATTCACACATAATCTGCAAATGTAGGACCAGAAAAATTAGGCATGAGGTTACCAACAAGTTCTGTGATTTACAAAGCCTGGCTTCCAGTGGTAAGTGTTTGGTAAGCTCTTGCCTAAAGGTAAGATCTGGTCAAACTGTTCCTGTGACTGAGATTTAATGATCAGTCCTCCCCCATGCTGTTCCTCATCACTGCAATAGGGCTGTTGTTTTCTCTTTATGGGGGGAGGGGAAGAAGAAGTAATTAGATCAATCTATTTCACCTGATGGCAAGTTTATTTTCTGAAGTCATGAAGAAGATTAATAATAATTGAGAATTTTCCCCTCTATCTCATTTGGTGGAGATTGGCCAATGCTTTTTTTGACTTGGCATGATGACTGGTAGAGAAAGAGCCATGCATACAGCACTGTTTATATAAAACTTATATTTTACGAAGCCAATCTTCAAAATTATTTTCCTGACAGCATTCCTTTGCAACATTCTTCTGGAGATAAAATGTATAAATTACATCTAAAAATGATGAATCATTAATAAAAAAGAGGATGAAGTGAAACATTTTGCTTTTTTTAATGACCCCTTTCAAAAATTTTGAAGAAATTCTGAGAATTTCCATGAGCTTCTTCTTACTTTCAAACACTGGTGGACATTTTGCAGTGTTCTAGGAGATCTTCCGCTTTATGGGAGATGCACATTCCTGAGTTCTAGCTTCAGCACAGGTTTTTTTAACCACTTTGACAGAGGAGATGAAGATCATCCCACCAGGTCCCAAACCACTTAGAGTTTATGGATACAGGATTCCATTGTGCTAAGCCTTTCCTAATTCAAAACATGAGAGCTGATAGGTCCATGACAGMTTTCCCATAAACAGCTGCCTAAAAGTACATGGTCAGTGGTTTCATGGGTTGCTTGGGGCTTAGTTTAGTTTGCAGGAGAAATGCTTTTTCTGGGAAMTCTATATTTTGATATTATTTTTCTTTTGTATTTTACTGTAACTATTTTAACATAGTAAAATACAGATAGAGGTAGAAAAGACAACTGTTCAAAGATTTGTGGAAGAGTATATGGTAAGAATGAGAAGAGCATTGGTAAAGGCTGAATGGATAAAAACAGATCTAACAAGAAGAGCAACAAACAGATAATCTGTGRCAACTTTATTTTGCTAAATAAATCCTGAATTAAAGATATCTGCTCCAGATTAATAATAATAGTTATCATGTTTTGAAGTAGTCATAATATAAATAAATGAAGAGCAAGCACTTCTATCCAGAGATGACAATCTATCATACAGAAAATTTTAAAATAAACACATCTGTGTTTGAAAAGCTAAGCACTTATTRATAGCTACAATAATATTTGTTAGCATCACACCCCATTAGTAAATTTTAAAATAAATTTGAAATTTTAACTTGTATTGCTGGCCATAACATAGCATTTATCATATGGGAAGCTAATCAGACTGTAACTGCTTGCACTGATCTGATCGATAAGTGATCTGTAAAGATGGGTAATATCAAGGGAACAGCCTCCGACTCTACACCCCAATGCAAACACGCAATGCCAGAGTGCCATGCCATTCAATGGCATAAAAGTACAAAACAGTTTCCCTTTAGCTCAATTATGATGAAATTTGGTCAAAAAAGAGTCTATCTAGCCCAACACAAGGAAGGACTGAGCCTGCTGCTCTACAGCCATGGCAAGAGGGAAGATGATACTACCACTTCTTCTTGCTGCCAATGCAGCATAGGCAGGGAATGAGTTTAGAAAACAAAACACACAGCAGAAATATTAAGGGTTACACTAGATTTCTTTATTTTTTTATATATATCTTAAGATCAAAATGAGGAAAGTTGYTCTTACTATAGCAGTGACCGAGGATAAAAAGCAGTAGCCCAACACTGCATTATCACTGCCTGCACTCTGCGGTTTGAGTGTAACCAAAAATCACAGCCCCTTATTTGTCTCCACCCCTTTCTTTAGCTGAGCATGGAAGAAGAGGCGATCACAGGAAAATCCATCTCTTTGCTCATTATGCTTCCTGCTGCTTGGTGCACATCTACTCACACGAGGTATGTATTCACACATGGCTTTTTCCTTGCGTTGCCTATGACTAACCAGAGAGAGAGGAACTCCAAAGAGACTCGTTAAACCCAGGAAAGCTGCCACAGTTTGTCACATGCAGCTCTGCACACATTGGCAGAGCGTTGCTTTCACAGTATTCTGCAAGCCTCTTCTTCTGCAACAGCAGTAACTCACGTCGCTGCGCTAGTCTCAGGAGGAACTACTATTAAATGGTAGATGTTAGTTTAATATTAATAATTGTCTTAACTCCACACATCCACAGGTTTTCATCTAGTAAGGGGGAGCGATCTGTTTTTCCTCATAAAAACAACATTTCTCCGAAGGGAATTTAACAGATGTGAGGGAGCCGCTGGCAGGTGCGGGGTAATGAAAGCAAGGCACTTTGAACTGTCAGCGGCTCTCCAAGCGCTCCCCGCACTGCCCTGGCAGAGGGGCGCCCGCTCCAGCTCCAAACAGCTGCTCCCTCACAAGTGCCCTCCCGGCGCCCATTCGCAGCCCTGCAAGGCAAAGCCAGCAGGAAAAACGCGGAAAAAAATACCTGCGCCAGGTGAGAAACATCTGCCCGCGCATCGGCGTGCTTTAGAGCAGCCAGGAGAGCCCGTAATGCTTTATGGAACTTGCMTGTTGTCACTTTGAAGAGTGAGGACTGAGAAAATGAAGATTCATTAACGCTCTAACGGCGGATGTCGGGTGAGCCCCTCTTTCATTGTTCCGTAGCCGACGCTACGGGGAGTGCTGTTCCTCTGCAGGGTGACCTCTGTTTTTGTCCCCGTGAGCTTTAAATTAGTGCTAGGACTCCTGCCACTTCCCTAGAAAAAGGTATTAATAGGTCTTAGCAGCAAGAAATATTTCTTGATAGCTAAAGCACAGTTAGCTTTTCTTCCATTTTATTTTATTGCAGTTATATTACTGGTTTGCAATATGTTAAACATTTGTCTTTGTTCTTTTTTTTTTTTTTACATTCTTCACCTTCTTGTTGTTTGAATGACATGTATTTGATTATTTCTATCTTTCTTCACATATTAGTCTTTTGATCACTTAATCAATTTTGCAGCGCCTTTTCTTCATAATTCCTTCAGCTCTGTCCATATCTTCCTGGCTGAGACACTCAGAACTGTCTGCAGTATTAATAAAGAATGCATGACGCTGTAGTAAAAAGGTTTCTTGGCATGAGTTTGGGATGACCTGCATAGCTCTTGTGGTACAGTCATAAAAAGAACAGTGCAGCTTACCTGAAATTATTAAACCTTCATATCAAGCCATGATGTATTTTCTTTGTCACAGATTGAACAGATAAATAAAGCATAGCTGTGAGCGTAGCCACATAGCTGCATTGTAATAGYAGTGCAGTGATTATTTTTCTTTCATTTTGAGTTTTTCTTAGTCCCTCAACAGTTTTTTTTTAAGCAGAATTTGATATTATTTGACCCAAGATTGTTTCAATTCCTATTGAAGTCAATGACAACATTCATATTGATTAGAATAAGAGAGAAGTTAGGACTGTGAAACTTTGAGAGACACTCAGTATCAGTAAGTAATTTTAAAAATACTGCTAATGCAGAATAAATCAAAATTAGTATATAAATAGAGATCTGTCTTTCAGCTAGCTGTCTTCACAGAATCACAGAATGGCTCAGGTTGGATGGGACCTCTGGAGATCCCTTCCAAACCCCTGGCTCCATCAGGGGCACCCAGAGCACAGGCTAGCATCCAGGCAGGTTTGGAAGATTTCCAAAGAAGACAACCTCCCTGGGCAGCCTGTTCCAGGGCACTGGCACCCTCACAGTGAAGAAGTTCTTCCTCACATGCAGATGGAACTTTCTGTGTTTCAACTTGTAGCCATCACCCCTTGTTCACCATCACAGGCCACCACTGAGCAGAGCTTGACCCCTTCCTCCCTACATTCAACCTTCAGGTTTTTATACATATTGATTASATTCCCTCTCAGCCTTCTCTTCTCCAGGCAAGCAGGCCCACCTCACTTAGTCTTTCCTCATACGAGAGATGTTCCACTCCCCTAATCATCTTTGTTGCTCTCCACTGGACCCTTTTCTAGAAGCTCCACATCCCTCTTATACTTCTTATACTATATGATCTTCCAGTCATGGATATAGTGCCCTCCTCTGAAAACTCAATAGAGCAAGGGACATCTGCCATCAAGCACACTGGTTTTAATCCATTAGTGATTTTAGATATCTTGTAAAATAAAATCCTACCATATTAATTTAACTTTGCATGCATGTATTTGGACATATATTTTTGATTTCCTTTTGTATAAAATCTTAGACTATATTACATAGGGGTCTCCTAGGAGTCAGTCCTTGGTCCAGTCCTGTTCAGCTTATTCATTAATGACCTGGATGAAGGGCTGGAGTGCTCCCTCAGCAAGTTTGCTGATGATACCAAACTAGGAGGAGTAGCTGACAGCCCTGAGGGCTGTGCTGCCATCCAGAGGGACCTGGACAGACTGGACGACTGGGCGGTGAGAAACCTCATGAAGTTCAACAAGGGCAAGTGCAGGGTCCTGCACTTGGGGAGGAATAACCCYGGACACCAGTACAGATTAGGGGTGGACCTGCTGGAGAGCAGCCCTGCAGAGAGGGACCTGGGTGTCATGGTGGACGACAAGTTGACCATGAGGCAGCAGTGTGCCCTGGTGGCCAAGAAGGCCAACRGGATCCTGGGGTGCATTAAGAAAAGCATCTCCAGCAGGTCGAGGGAAGTGATCATCCCCCTCTACTCAGCCCTGGTGAGGCCACATCTGGAGTACTGCGTCCAGTTCTGGGCTCCCCAGTACAAGAGGGATGTGGAGCTGCTGGAGAGAGTCCAGCACAGGGCTACGAGGATGATCAGGGGCCTGGAACATCTACCATATGAGCAAAGGCTGAGGGAGCTGGGTCTGTTCAGCCTGGAGAAGAGAAGGCTGAGGGGGGACCTCATCAGTGTSTATAAATACCTCAAGGGAGGGAGGGAGGAGGAGGGGGCGGCCTCTTTTCAGTGGTGGCCAGCGATAGGACTAGAGGAAACGGCCACAAGCTGAGGCACCAAAAGTTCCACAGGAACTTAAGGAAACATTTCTTGACAGTGAGGGTGCCAGAGCCCTGGAACAGGCTGCCCAGAGAGGTTGTGGAGTCTCCTTCTCTGGAGATCTTTAAAACCCACTTGGACACAATCCTGTGCCATGTGCTCTAGGTGTGCARGTCCCTGTGTGTGCACGGGGGCTGGACTAGATGACCTCTGAGGTCCCTTCCAACCTCACTCATTCTATGGTTCTATGATTGTATGATAGGTTTATTAATATTGTTCATTCAGGACATGGCATCTCCAACCCAATAAATCAGTTAAGTATGTGCTTAAATTTAAATATATGCAGTATATACTGAAAATCCATCTGCTGAAAGGCTTTCCTGAATAAAGGTGGCCTTAAGCCTATATCTGAGTACTCTACTGAATCGCAGTTTTGGAGTTGTATTATATTGCAAATTGAATGGAATCACGCAAAGCATATAAAATTAAGCACATGTTTATATTATGTTTATGATTTTGCAGGATCAGGATTTTGTTCATATAATGGGGCACTTATATAATGAACAGTTTTTAAGATTTTTAATTTTTTTTATTTGTTAGTTCAGTTGCCTACGGCCAATCTCACTTCATCATGTCTGTATACAGTAAATAAGCCTATACAGAAGAAAATCCAGTCTTATAAATGAATTACAGAAACAAGCTTGATAATGAAACTTTAAGCATCAACACATCAACAACTGAAGGCAAAACTTGTGTCTGAAACACTGTTRAAAATAAAGGTTCTCCCAGTTGCTTGCTAAACATTTCTTTGGCCTTTGATATATTTATTTATRTAAAAATGTTTTCTTATAGCTCTGCTAAAGGAGGGAGAATCTTTAAAGCAAGGAGAATCTTTAAATGCTGAAGATGCATACTGGTGATGTTCTTAGCAAGTCCTTTCCGTGACATGCAGGGAATGGGAAATCAAGTCACAAGCAGTAGAGCAGGTTAGAGTGAGTTGAATATTCATAGTCTAGGCATGAGAAGACTGAACAGCTCAGAGCTTTTTAGCTTCTATGTTAAAAACCCTGAGGTCCCAATCACACCATGATTTTTACTGCTGTAGAGTGTGCTACAGCACCGGGGCCTGCAGGAAATCACTRCTCAAAGAGCTGCACCTTTTGCTTCAATCATCTGCTTTTATTAGCCTTCCACTCTGTCGAAATGTGAAGAGTGGATTTAAGCTCTTCTCGCTTGATACAAAATTCATTAGAAGTGGCAGAGCAGAGGAAATTTATATAGAAGTTCTTTTTTTACAGACAACTCGTACAGTGAAGGAGGCTGCTCCCGTCACCATCCGCATGCTCGGGCTGGGATACCTGCCCTGCCTTGCCTTGCCTTCCGAGCAGCTGGATCCTCTCCATGGAGAACAGAGAGTACCGCAAAGAGGCAAAGGTGAGAGCTCACAAAGCTGCTCTCCTCGCCAACAAGCTACTCAGCCAGGCTTTTAGGAAGCATCCACGCAGTGGAGGAAACTACKCTGCAGGCTTCAGGCTTGAGGTCAAAGATATATCATTAGAGACATCATTTCCTGATATTAAAGGCTCCAAATCATTAGTCTTTTAATACATAATATCAATAGCTATAAAGAAAAATGCGGGTAGGATGTAGAGAGCCCCCTGAATCTTAATATACTCTCTGCTGTCAAAAGCAAAATGCAACCAATGTGTCAGCTGAGCTGGAGGAAGACAGGGGGTCAAATGGAGAAGACAGAGGGGTAGGCAGCAGCTAGAGCTCCGGCCACATTTCTCCTCACCTCCCAGGGTCAGCACGCACTGTGCCTCCAGAAACACACAGGAATGGTGCACAAGGGGGATTTATGCAGAATACACGACTGTTCTGGCTTCTGCACACATCGACATTTCACACTGTGCACAGCAGATGGGAGCTATGAAGTTCAGCCCAAGCATAGAAGTTTGCATACTTACGCATAAAAATATATATTGTACATGTGTGTCACTAAGCCCTGGCAAAGCTCCCATTGGCATCCTCTCACCCGGCTGCATCCAGGCCCTACTGTGTTCGGCCTGTATGTGCTTAACCATCCATTCCCGCCTCTGACACACATCCTCAATGGGATTTCTCTGCCAAAAAGGACTGCTTGTGGCCAAGGGACATTAAACCTTCATGGCCATTTCTGATTCCTCTCCTAGCAGACTTCCTGGCAGTTCAAATCCACCTTTTCCCAGAGCACAAGCAGTGTGGGCACGCTGCATTTATCACTCATTGGCTAAAGACTCCCAGTTATTGAATGCAAGTGGGAATGGAGACTTTATCTGGGTTCAGGCAATGAGTAGCCTTTTAAATTTTTATTCACAAGCTGTAGTTGTGAAAAACAACCAGTAAAATAAAACTCTGAACACTTTTTTTTCCTTCTCCTCCTGTAAAGTCTTTACAGGGTTTGAGTCTTCTAATGAGATAGGGCTTCACCTACTGTCAGAAGCTTTTTGAATCATGAATCTCTTGTGTTCAAAGGCACAGCATTGATACCATATTAGTTTCTTCACCCTTTTGAGAGTTTRGATTGCCCAGTCCAAGAGAAAGTCTTGAGAAAAATGGTTTTGTATAGCATGAGTAACCTGAATGAAATCAATGTTAATGCTTCTCTGTTATCCATGGTCAAGAACAGCGTTTCCTGAACCATTTGTAAATACATGGAGTACTTCACCTGTTTTGAAAAAGAAATTCATTGATTATGTTGTGTAGAATTGCCACATTATATCTACTTAGAAAAAAGTCTGTGTTTTTTTATCTTTTTTTTTTTTTTTTTTTTTTTTTTTTTTTTGTTATCTTTATTTTCCCTGCTCCCCTCCCAGCTTCTGTTCATTTGCTCCTGGGTGGGAGAATGTGTGTAAATGTTTAAATGTAAATGTATTTTTGCAGTGTGTCAAAGGCAAAATTAATTTGTTTGGCATTGTTGTAGGAAATGTATGACATGGCTTTTGCCTGTGTGTATACTGAGACATTTGTTAATGCAGTGATTTCATATGGTCAATCTGAGCTTATAAATTGTAAACCAGTAGTATCCCCAAACAAGTATCTGGGGACAAAGGCTATGTTAATCTTCACTGAGAAACTGGCTTCGGGAARGTTAACCATGCTCAGACACAAAGTGCTTTTAAAACTAACTTCTCTGAAGTGATATCTACCCAGATGCCCACGAGAATCTGAAATATACTGACACATATGTGTTTTCTGCAGCTCTTGCTTCTCTACAGGGCTAGTGTGAGAACTGTTGTAGTTCCAAGGAAATGCATTGAATCCTGCTATTTTCACTGAAAGAAGCATTATTGCAGATCATGAGTTAAGATTCTGCAACTCATTTGTAGCCCAGTTTAGTGAGAATAAGATGTTTTGATAATTACAATTAATTCTTGTGCTTTTTTTTCTGAATTAAACTGTAGCTCCCAAGCAAAGCTAGGTGTCTCACTTGTGTATGCAGTTATCTCCACCTTGGTTCTCAGCAAGAAACTGCATTCCAGTATTTGAGTGTTGGCCTTTGAGGGGAGGATGGTTTGGAGGAGAAAGTCAGAGATTCCTAATTTAAGGGTCTTTGTTACTTCTTGAGAAATGAGGAGCAAAAGGCACCATTAGAAGGCAGTTCAGACCTCAAGAAGCATCCCCTGGAGGTGCCTTTTTGCCTCTCTTCATTCACTATAGAAAGAGCCTAAGGTGACAAGGATCCTCTTTGGGTGCCTCAGGTAAGTGTCCAAAATTAGGTAGGCTGATTTCTCTGCTTTATGCCATCACAAATCCCCTGTTTTGCCCTTTAGTACCACTTGCACAGGGTTATACAATAATACAATAATACAATATTGATGTTCTGTGGCAAGTTAAAAGGACAATAAGGGTACTGTGAAATGTGAGTTATTTTACCTGTTTGATACCTGCTTTTTCCTTAACTCTCTTAATGGTGTAGTGTGTTTTCCCACCTCGGTGACATACAGTTGCATGTATTGTTAATTTTTGCTTTGTAGCTTGCATCTAGATTGCAGTGTGCATGTCCCCAAAGTGGTATCAGTTGCCTGAAATCTTGATTCCTCAGTGTTATGTGGCTTGCATAAATGTCAGCTGGTCCAAGGGAGCGGTTTTAAAAGAAACAGAGCTGATCTGACATTCTTCAAAGGGAAGCCTGGGAGACTCATCTCTGCACCTGGGTTTGTTATATACACTGAGCAATGGGAAGAGTGCTATGAATGCTGTCACTCGAGCAGTGAAGAGGGACAGGCAGCCATGTCAAAAATGACAACGTTTCTTTTACTAGTCTTGCAAAAGATGTCTGCAGTGATGTGACTGCAGATGACATCAAACAACATAAGTGRCTGGTTTCTGCAGTAGATTGAAATTCATCCAGTTCCCTGTGTTCACTGTGATGATTTTCAATGCTAATTCTCAGTGAGTGAGGCTTGAAGTATATTCACAGGCTATACACAGTTAGGATACTTTAAAGTTATTTGAGGTACCTGTGATGTAAGCATCTGTGCCTCTTGCTTTCRTGCATTTTTTCCTGAGTTCCAATTATGCACTCAAAGAAACACTGGAAGAAAGAGAGAGCAAGTTTGCTGATCTAGTTCTTTCTCTTTTTTTGAAAAGAATGAGCACTTGGTTGTCTGAGCAGAGGGAAAGGTAAGACAGGAGCATACTTTCATCCTCTCCACGGAAGATACCAGTTGAATTGATGCAAMTTAAGTGGTTTTGAAAGTGATCCCYGAAGTTCRGTGTATTCACTGAGCAAAACTGGGGGTCATTTAAGTCTTCATTTGGAAATCTAAATTATCTGAGATTGTGAAAAAGATGAAAAAGTTTTAGCTGAAATTTTACTGCAGGAATGTAATGCTCTTTGAAACTGAAGCTGGATCCAGCACTCAGCGTGGTGTCCTGCGGCTGCAGCAGCATGTGTGCTTCACTGTGTTTTGGAGAGGTCCTGGATGTCTCTCGGTCCTGACTTCAGRTGACACTCACACTCTTAGGAATACTTGGAAGAACTGGACTGCAAAATGCAGAGGGAATGGAAGGAACAGACCCCTGTGCATGCAAAGAAGTACACAGGCACTATGACTAGAAATACCCTTCTGGATCTACAGAAGAGAAGACTCAGGAGAAAATTCCAATTGCCATTACCTCTGTTCTAACTGCTCCGAGGTAAAAGGGGCTGTGATGGTCTAAACAAAAAATGCACTCTCTTATTAATTTACTGATAGGCTGATATTAAGCTTTTTCTTCTCTCTCTCTCTCTCTCTCTCTCTCTTTTTTTTTTTTTTTGTTAACACAAATAACTTTGTGTCTCCCTTTTTGTAAATGTAACATCCAGTACCTATACTGTGTTTGTCGACGTCCCTTACTTTTACAGTAAATTTTGAGAAAAGATAGACACAGCCCTGCCATGATTTTGGGGCTCCGGTGTCTGTACTAACAGCTTTTTCTTATAAAAAACCTAAGAAGCTTTAGGAGCAAAGCCCTGCTGAAGGCTCCAGCCTCTCTGAATTAGTAGTCCACAAGGCAGTGCCCRGGATCCATTTCGAAGTCATTCACCTTATTTTTTTTGTACAATGTGATAGCTTTTATTGGATAAGTTGTGAACGTCCTCACCCAAGGAACAGATTACTAGATGGCTATTAAGGTGAGAAAAAATAATTTAAATGAAGTAAGAGAGAAGTAAACTCAGGGCTCTCAGAAGTCGGCCAAGTGTTCTAACCACAGCAGGGTCTGGCTCATAAGTTTTAATGGTTCCCACTGGAGTGATTTTACAAGGTTGTCCCAGCTAGTAGTTAGCCCTGTCCTTCTAGCAGAGATGGCAGAACTGGTGGTATGGCTGCTCCTCAAGTAGTTCTTGCTACGACCTGTTTGGCTGGTGACACTTGAGCTTCGCACCCTTTGCATTGTGGCATTGGGCTGAGCAGCARTCGCCCATGGCAAAGCCTCTAGTGTGGGGACAGGCAAGGAGGGTCCTGAGGGACTGCCCGGGCTGGGGAAGCAGGACACTGCCTTCTCAATAAGAAAGTCAAAATATAGGACTTTGTCCTCTTATAGCACAAAGAGGGGGATGCAGTGCAGATTTTGAAGAAATCCAGCTACTGGATGGAGCTGCCCTTGGTGGGGTGAGAAATCAGTCACGTCTGGGTCCGGACTGGATGTAAACACATGAGGGCTGTTTTGTTCTCTCAAGGCTGAGGCACCTCTGCCTGTAGGAGGAAGCAGAATTAGAGCTACTTGGGTTGAAATTCATCTCATTGAACTTTAGCCATTTATCTTGTGGATGTTTATACACAAGTTGATTACACCAAGGCTTCCATTAGCATCGATGGTGAAAAATAGGCACYACTGGGATGTGACTCATTGGACTAATGATT